TCGAATATCCTCTCATCTAACATTGTAAAATTTTACACCACGTTTGTATTTTCATTTTAAAGGTTGATCTCAAAGACTCATTCATATGATGAATATATGGTTGAGAAAATCCTTAAATATACCAGAAGGATAGCTCGAATCGGGTATCCAAGTACTCGTCGTGAAAAGTTCTTGCATCCTATATATGATTGTGATGAGTTCAGTTTGAAAAGTGCTATGGGTCGAATCATATTCTTATGCGCCCTTGTCCTTTGAAGTTTAATTTGTCGTGAAGAGCATTTTTAAAAAGAAAAATTAATTGAATATGAATATGGTTTAGAAATAATTGAAAACTATCCTACATGAACAAATACTTATTTTCTTGAACGATAGTATAAATGTTGTTAGGTTTTTAAGTGCTATTGGTATTGAATTTCATTTTTTTTTGTTTTTACTATTTTCTGCTCATGAAAATAACGGATGCCTCAGGAGAAATTGGTATTAAATCTCAGTGCATTTTTCTCTCGTTTCTTAATCATAAAAAAAAACTCGCTCTTATGCCTAAAGATAGAGAGCTTCAAGCTCTAGAAAATTGTCGACTTTGTTTCTCAAGCAATTTTCTCTTGTCGGTGTAAAATTTAGAAGGAGAACATCTACTTTAGTCGTTCAACTGCGACGCTATATTATATTTTTGAAAAAAAAAATTTGCAATAGGTTAGATCTTTATTGATTGTTCGAAGAAGAGAACTCTGTCTAAAAGGTATTTTTAGTACTGGACGTTCAGAAAGCGGAGGAAGTCGATGAAATTGGACAAATCTGGACAGTGCGAAAGGATAGAGTTCAGTGGTTTCAAAAATTTGGAATTGAGAAAAGGGACCGATTTTTTTAAATTTCTTGGAACCTAACCGTTAAATTATCAAGTAGATACAAAAATTCTTAAATCTATATCGAGAAATATTAATTTTTGCATTCTTGAAATTAAATATTTCGGTATATATATACATATAATATTGTTTTGTTTAAATATTGAACCGAACCGAAATTGCTTTTTTTGTCATTTTTAATAACCGTCATCGCGATGTTGGTTTCAGATAATGTTTGAAATCACCAAAACTCGACGAAGAGGTTTCAAAAAATGTGATTTTTACCCGGATATCCTTAATGCATGACACTTAATTGAATGACTTTGTTCGTAATTGTATTATTTGTCTAAAGAAGAAGAGTTTAACTAAGACTTTCTCTAATTATCACATACAATGAAATATTCTTTAATCTATTTTTTTTTTATATTAAAAATCTTAAATATTTCGTATGTTTTTATTTACTGAATATCATTGTATTTTGAAGGACAAATGATAAATCATAGTACTTAAACAAAATTCAAAAGAAAAATCACAATAATAATAATAATATTATAAATCGAAGTAAAAAATTCTACTAACTAATTTTCAAAATAAGAAATATTAATCAATTACAATATTTATTTTCCGATTCAATCATAAAATATAAATTAGTTCCTATAAGCAGAATGACAAAGATATTTAGAACGAGTAGTAAAAACAAAAAGTATAATATATGATCATTAAACATCCATTAAGAAATATCTTTTGTTATATTGTTATTTCTATTTCTCTTAACATTAAGTTACGTTTCTTTGTTCAAATAGTTTTGTGTACTTTTTCAAAAGAAAACTATTTTAATTTAATGTTTATTATTAATAAATAATTGATAATTAAATGTTATGAAAAATATGAGTTTTTCAAACAAAAATTGATTTTTGCACACATAAAAAAAGAAAAGAAATTATGTTCAATTATCTTTAAAAGATGAAGCGGAAAAATTCATCTTTTGTTCGATAAGACTTCATAGGAATCGAAAAGTACATCATATGAATACAATTAATCGAGAAGAAATATACAATGACCTTATCGATTAAATATATTTTATAAGAACGTGAACTTTATTTGAACTAGATATTTCCGGCTATAAATTCTCAGAACTTCGTTTATAATATATAAAACTGATTGCTTCTGTTTTTCTTTGTTCTTGTTCTGTCGACAATAAATAATAGATTTTTAATCATGAAAACAAAAAGAACTTGATTATTTCAAACGCTAAAAATATATATTGTTGACAGGTAATTACTATCTTACTAATAAATACAATCAATTCATGATTAATCTGATTGTCTTTTTTCTTAGTTCAATTCATGATGCATTGATTATTTTATATTAGTAAATAAATATTCATTGCTTCAATCGATTTGAGACAAAATATTTCTGTTAAAACTATATTTCAATGATTTCGAAAAAAAAATTTCGACATACGATAGACTTGTGGTACTGCTTATAGACAATAAAAAAAAAACTCTAGGACTTGTTTTCATTAGTATTCTTAGCGGATTTATTTTTAGTTCATAGATTAGGGATTTAACATTCCTATATTGATTATAAGTTAAGATTGTATTTAAATGGCTTCTTTTTTCATTTATATTTGATATATACATATATGTATAATAAAATACAAACCTATTGACAGAATATCTCTAATAAAATATAATTCAAATGTGTCGTGTTATTCACCTGTTTTTTTTTTGATTAATTACAACTGTAAATTAGATTTTCACAATTTAAATACGACAATTTATGTCAATCAACTTAACTATTTTGTTAAAAACATTTTATAATTGGTGTTTTGTTTGCTTGTTTAAATATACAAATATCATTAACCTCGAATAAATGATGTGTCTCTCAAATAATATTTCATTAAAAAAATTTTTAATTTACTTTCATCAGTATCAGTAAAGCAAAAAAAGTCTTTGTTTAACTTATGAATGTCATTTGGATGAATAATTATAAATTTTCATTGAAACCTTTCTTCAACAATAATAAATAATTGTTTTTTAATTTAGAAAAAAAAGAAAATAAATCAAGGAAAAATAATGTTTGGTTGAACAGGAAAATATAAGAAATAATTCGTAAAGAAGTTTTTTATTATTCACAAAACGTCGTAGTTCCGTTAAAAAAACACAGAGATTGAAAAAGAAATCGATTGGAAAAAAAATCTTACAACATTATTTATTGATGACGTTCTCTGCTTTATTATCTATCACGTGTTCTAATCAGTCAACTAACACATTTCCTATGGGAAAATAAAAAAAGAAAGAAAATTATATCTCTAATTCTATAAAGAGAATTTTCTTTTATTCTTTTTTTTCTCTGTTGTTCTAATATATATGATGGATAATTATAAAACAAAAAGCAAAATGTCATATAAGAAAAAGCTTTGTCAGCAAGAAAATATTTCTAGTTTTTAATTTTGGACGAGTGTCTTTTCATTTCCATATATCGTCTTTGTGTTTTTTTGTTCCAAAAAAAAAAAAAAAGAAAAAGAAGAAGAAAACTTTAATTTATACTTTTTCATATATAGCTCTCACTTGAAAGTATAATATACGCAAATGAAACAAGAAAAAACAGAGAAGGAAAAAAAACTGTTGATGAAGATGAAGCAAAAAAAAGAAGGAAAATTGAAATTAAAAACCAAATTGTCAGAAAATAAATGTCGTAGTGAGACTATACAATAAATAAAAAAAAAAAGAAAAACATAAAAGCGACTGTTTTCAAATGCTAAACACAATTGCACGGGTATTAACCAATTTATCACTACGCAAACGAAACGGTACGTTCTGACTGAATATAGATGAGAAACCGACCAGCAGTATATCTCACTTGCATTTTAATTATTCTTACGTCCGCTCAGATCCTTCATCATCATCATCATCAGAATATGTAGTTTTAGATGAAGAAGCTGTTGTTGCCGCAGCTCGTTTTTTCTTTTTTCTTTTCATTCGATGATTATTATCTCTTTTTGATGATGATGATGATTGTGCTGATGCTGTTACTGATCCATTACCATTTTGAGTAGGTATACCAGGATCAACATTTTGTGATGGTAATGAATCAGATGTATCATTTGGTAATGAATTTATATTTCCACTTGCTGTATTATCACATTCACGTAATTGTTCAAGTGTTATTATATTATAATGTGAATCAAATACAGCTGGTGTTAGATCATTCGATGCACGAACAATACGTATAGCATGTACTTTATCACGTAAAGAATTCATTGATGAATTACTCGAATTACGTCTACGACAACCAAAACAACTTGTTAATGTTAACCATATATTTGATGTTTGATTTGAATGCATTTTTCTATGTTTTGTTATATTGTCATAATTTCCTAAAATATGATCACTATTATTTATTTGTTGTGGAGAATTTGATGAATTACTATGATGTGAAGGTGAATGACCATGACGATTATTAATATTTTCGGGTATTATAGAATGATTACTAGTACCACTATCACCATGATGATGATGTTGATGATGATGATGATGATGTAAGGAAGTGGCAGTAGAAGTTTCCGATATTGGAAATTCGTATTCCATTTTTGGTGAATTTTCACTACGTATTAAACGTGCAACATTGGGTGATTGTCGCTGATATAATGATTGATTATTAAGTCCAACAATGGCACCCATTTCGGACGATTGAGACGATTCTGCCGTGCCCATTTTGACATCCTAGAATAACATAAATATCTATTTATGTTATAAATAAATAAAGAAGAAAAAAAATGTCATTTACAGACATGCAAATAGCATTCGCTTGATTTCTTTAGCAAATGAAAAAGACAGCTTTTCTCTTCATTTCTTTCTTCTTCTTTATTTTTTTCTTACTGTCTAATCTAAACTACAGATTAACAACGATTTTTCTTTTATAGTCTATGAACTAAGAAATAGATTTCTTTACACACACACACACATATATATATATATATATATATATATATAATATATATTAATATGAGATTTTTAGTTTTATTATGTGAATAATAAACAATAAAACAAAAAAAAAGCAAAGAAAATCTTTTACTTTTCTATAAGATAACATATACAAATAACTGAATTCAATATTTTATGGAATTTTCAAAGTCGACAAAAATATATTTATTATTGTTGATTCTACTTACATGCCAGTTGCGCACTGTTTAACATTATGAATAAACATCAAGGTAAGTGAAGCCTTATCATGAAGCACGTAATGGTTACACGTCGATAAAGAAGAAAAAAAAAGAAAGATCTTTTCTCATTCATTCATTTATTTCTTCGTTTCTTATTCTCGCTTTGTCTCCCTCTCTCTCTCTCTTTCGCTCAGACAGATGCCTCTCGGATAGAACTCTACTATTGAACTGTCTAGATTCTCATGGTTTTTTTTCTCATTCTTCACCTTTTCTACGCCTCGAGCAAGCCGTATTGCGCACGGAAACACCTCATATTAGAGAGCCACGATGCCATAAACAAAGAGAGAGAGGGAGAGGGAGAGAAAAACAAAAAAAAAAGTAGCAGAAGAGTGAACGTCCGGAGCAGCATGCAAGAAAAATGCTGTTCCTCACATTATTACATCGTAAACATTAATAAAAAGAGAAAACTAGAACGAACCTTAAGTGTGCCTACCTTTTTTTTCTCTAAATATATACATATCTATATCTATATATTTAATGTTTCTTCCTTCTTCTACACACTGTCTATCTGTTAGACTTTCATCAACAATATAAATATCACAGTTTTGTGATTCTTTTCTAGTAATCGATATTTTCTATTTCTAATTCGTATGAACAAGAAAAAGAAAAACTTACCATAAGCTTTGTTTTGTTTCCTATAATAATAGTAGTAAGATTTTTCTAACTATAACTGTTGTGATATTGCCAAAGAGACAAATTGGCATTGAAAGAAGGCGTACTAACGTGCGTCATATCGATAAAAAGCGATGCTTCTTCTACTTCGCTGTCTGACACATTTTCTAGCAGACACAAACAAGAAAGAAAAAACCCATGAAGGATTAATCGGTGGTGTTGCTGCTTCTGTCTTCTCTTTTTGTTGTTGTTTTTATTATTATTATTATTTCAGTTCTTAGGACCCGTCGGCCTATCATCATCGTTTGCTCGAATATGTCTGTCGATCGAGCACCGCTAATTGGAGCGTGTGATAGTTCAACATACTCATCTATTCGTATATATAAAAAAGAGGCATATTACATCCGCCTAACGGCGACTATAACTGACTTGTAAGCGTAAGTCATGCAGGAAACTAACGAAAATGAAAAAAGAAAAACAAAAAAGCCGACTAGCAAGCAAACATGAGAAAATGATTCAAATAAAAAAAAACAATCTCTGTTATGCTTTGATAGGAAAAAAAGAAAGAAAGAAAAATAACACGAGAAACATTGCCTAATAGATCTTGTACCAGTCAACATATTTGTCTTCAACGCTTGTCAATGTTGATAGACGAAGAAATCAACAAGAACGTCAACAAACATAATATATACTATATCGATATAATTTGTACTCTCGTAAAATCATGGTATATAGAATTAATAATTTATTTAAATTACATAAATTCATTCTGTATTTCTTCTATCTATCTAGAAACATAATTCATCTATTAACTATCTTATTTTCTTTTTCTTTTTGAATATATCATGTTTTTATAGTAATATTATTTTCCCATTTACTATAATCAAAATATTAAAAAAAAAAAAAGATAATGATAAATGTATATATTATAAAGAGAATAGGAAAATGAGTAATAATCAACACAATTCACACTAAATTGATATATACATAATAGCAAAAATAAATATTAGTTATTCTAATGATACGGAAAAAAAAACAAAGTAGATTTTACTTTCTTTTTTATTTTTTCAAGCAATCTATAAACAAACAACAAGAACGGAAAGATTTATATATATTTTTAATATAACTAAAGACTATCGGCTCAATGTGTTTGCAAGACGAACGTCAATTTATTTTAGAACGGGGAACCAGCAAACGAGCGAGCGAGAGAGAGAGAGAGAGAAAAAGATCTAGTCTTGTCAATCGTTCTATCTATCTAGACGAGTTCTGTGCTTATGATCTGACGATGAGCTACTCATGTCGATGGATCACGAAACAACAACGACGATATTGATGAGTGGAACGCGCCAAACACAATTATGAGACGGACGGAAAAAATGAGAAGAAGGGTAGTTGTCTCGTTCTTTTCATCAAATTCATTTCGATGCTTTTGTTGTGCATTATTTGTTGATGATCTCTGCAATGTATTGTATGTGAATAAGCGGCACTATATGTAATAACAACAGAAGTAGTAGTAGTAGTAGTAGTAGTAATAGAAAAATTTTCCTTCTCTCTCTCTCTCTGTCTTTTCTAACACCCTATATAACAAATCATCTAGCCACTTTTAGTGTAGCGGCTACGGCAACGAGCAAGTGAGATCATAAGCGAGATTTCGGGTGGTTCGTATCTATATGCATATGTTATTTCTCTTGCTTTCTCAGTTTTCAACAAAAAAATAGAAGAAAAAAATGAGACGACATTTCCTTTTTTCTCCTCATTTTTCTGTAGGCTTTCTTTTCCTTTTTTATTTGAAACAACGACGCACTAGAGCTAATTGGACTACTGCTGTTGTTGTTTTTGTTATAGTAGAGTTAATATTGATGATCACACTGATTTGTTATATCTGAAGTCTATGTAATGACGTACCAACACTACCAATTCTCGTCTCTAGATACACATTGATTGATCATTTGAATGTTTATTCTAGTTTGGGACAAAGAATGAATATACATTCGTACAGATAAATATAATGATACAAGAGGGAAAGAGAGAAGGTCATTGAGATAGAAAACAACTATGTAATCTAAATCCAATAGAACTTGCAAGATAAAAATAAAAAACAACATGTGTTAACATAATAAAATAATTCATTCTCCGATTATATTCATATACAAGAAGAAAGAAACAACATCATATTACTTATTCGAAGAAGTATTTAGATAATATTCTTTTCATTATAGATTTCTATCCTTAAAAAATAGTATTAGTAATAAATACCATTATTTACTATAAAATCATCAAGTTTATTCTATATGATTTTCCAATGCCAAAAACTACAGAGATTGATAAATCTTTTTTTGATGAGGCTAATACTAAAAGACTATCTACTATAAATACAATAACAAAAAAAAAGAAAGAAACTCTATAATTACAAGTGTTATATAAACACAGAATTATATTTTTTGGAACTTTGTTAATTTAACTTCAACATAAATGATCAATATAATATTCTATCTTTTCTTATACTAAAAAGAAAACTTTTCTTTCAAAAAAAAATTTTTCTATCTTATAATAATTTATGATGAAAATTGTTCATCATAATTGTAAATTTTGCAATTATGAGATCAAATAAATAATTATAGATTCATGTTTATCAACTTTTATAGTTAATGTAAATATAGCATATCACTATTAATGTGTTATTTTTTTTCTTTTCCTATTAGAGATAAACAGTTATGTTTCTACAAATTTGCCCTAAAACAGATGCTCTTATGATATGGTGCATTAAAGAATGTTCTATTAGATCATTAATGAAATAGAACTTGCATTTTTCTAAGATGAGTATGTAAACAAAGTAACATTGCTGATTTTGTAAAAGTGGAGAAGGTACAAAGAACTTGAATATTAATAAACTCTTTAGTGAGCAATGTTCTTTATCAGTAATGTCAATATGCACTTCTCTAATATTTCTGCATCCTCCAGGTAATAATTAATACGCTATCTTTTTATATATAGATTATAATTGACTCAAGAATTGTTCAAGGAAAACATGATTTGAAAGTTTCAATGAATCATACTTGATAATACTTAATAGGTATAGTTATCTACCAAGGACAAAATTAACGCGACACGTATTTTTGATAGATATGTTCATTAATAGTCAATTACGAAAACTATAAGTTTTTCAGAAAATTTTTTCGTCTAGAGGATTTTGTAGAGCTCGTTTCACTGATCATTTTGGTAAAAAAAATATTCAAATTTGCTCGATAAATAACGGCGTTAGAGTCAAAATACTCAAAACTTTCGACTGTTCATGACTGCTGCCGAGTAGTAGTTGATATTTCTGAGTATTTTGACTCTAATGCCGTTATTTATCGAGCAAATTTGAATATTTTTTTACCAAAATGATCAGTGAAACGAGCTCTACAAAATCCGCTAGCCGAAAAAATTTTCTGAAAAACTTATAGTTTTCGTAATTGACTATTAATGAAAATATCTATCAAAAACACGTGTCGCATTAATTTTGTCCTTGGTAGTATAATAGTTGAGATTTTTTTGTTTAACAAAAGAAAATATTAATATATAATTTAAATAATCAAACAAAATTTATTTGTAATTTAATATTTTCCGTTAAATTAATTAAAGCTTTTATAGATTTTAAAAAAAAGCAAATCCTATCATAAAAGTATTTTCCTAGAATCAAATATAATAATGATTCTGAAGTATCTTCACTTCTTTTTTTTTTTTAATCTAGAAGTCATGTTATGGTAAGAGCTGTCTAACATGACTTCTTTTTGCTATATTAAATCTCAATTACTAATAGAGTAGAGCGTGATGAAGGCGTTATAATGTGACGATGAAATAAATAGAATTGACATATTAAAGAGACAACGAAAAAAAACAACAGCTTCAACTACAATGACAAAGCTAGCATAATAATAATAATAGTAATAATAATAATAAAAGAGACGGAACCGGAACAACGAATCTGTCTATTCATTCTAGTGTCAGATATAGGGAACATGCATTATTAACAATAAGAAAAAAAAAAAAGAATATTAATTCCAAAAGTAGAATATAAAAGCTACTCACTTGTCGACTATTATTTAATACACTCTGGTTGAGCATTTCAATGGAAGATGTTAGAAAGAAAACATAAGGTTTATTGAAAGATTTGACATATGAGAAGAAGTATATATGAAAATATTCTTTTATATGTTCCTTGTCATTGTGTTACATGTTGTTTTTTTGTTTTGAATACATCATTAAATTGATAGTTTCCACTGTGATTGTGCAGACCAAATGAGCTAGACAAAATTTATGAGAACAAATAACACATGAAAAAAAATAAGAAAGAAAAAAAATGAATGACACGAGAATTTCAGAGTAGGACAAAACAATTGTGCTTATATAAGTGCAAGAAAAAGTGAAAAGATACTCAAACTCAACGAACATATGTTTGTGATCAATTCGTACGTCTATTTATTTATGTAGATCAAAACTAAGAAGAAGTATTTTCTTTAGTAAAGACCAAGGTCGTGTCCAATAATAACGGGGAATGAGAAAAAAAAAGAAGATTGTGCTTTCGGGTTCATCAACTACTACTTCAAGATATATTTCTAACTAGAAAGCTTAGCTTTTTTCTTTTCTTCTTTTTTTTTTCGCTAGAGCAGCTACCGCTAACACAATTAGTGTGAGTGCTACATAAGTATAGAAGATAGATGTAGAGTGTACATGTCTCTATCAACTAAAAACGAATCACTAAAAACTTGTCAATCGATAGCACATAGAAATAGTAAAAAGCATATCTAGAGAAAATAAAATGTTGTTTAGTCTGAAGAAATTTGTTTTGCTTTGTGCTAATACAAGTTATATCTATATAGAATCGATGATCCATTCAATATAATTGTCATGATGTACTAAAAGATACGTAAACAAAATCTTTTTTTCAATAGCTAACAATATGTTTAAAGAAGATGTACGCAAAAATTCATACTTTAATATTGACTATCTGTTCTATAATATAGAACTCTCATTATACAAGTCAATAATTCGAATATTATTTAAATAGAATGTTAATCATTTCTTGTTTCTCAAAGATCTATTTTGTTTTAGAATAACTACTAAATACTTACCGTCTTAGTTTGATCTTTTAATTCTAATGAATCATTAGTCATCTATTATAGCAAATCTAATAGAATTGATTTTATGGCATTATATTTTTCTCATAAGAATAACATGATATTTTTCATATGTTAGAAAAATTTTTCAAACAAAGATCTATGAAAAAAGAATAAAAGGTCAACAGACTGATAAACAAAGAGAATATATATATATATATACATATACCAGACTATCCTTGATGTAGAATAATTACGCCTCATCACACAAAAATCATTAAATAACATGAAAAGAAAAGTCAAAAAAAAAACAACAATAACTATTCTTGAATTTTTTTTTTATTATAAATATGATTATAATTTTGTTTCAATCATTTATCAAAAATAATTAAATATAGACATGCAATTTGTTAATTAGTCTTTTTTTCTTATAATATAAATGGATTAAAAAAGAAAAAGAAGAAGAAGAAGAACTATTCAATGGATGAATATAACGTCAATACTATATTGAAATAGTTTGTTTATAACTACTTTAGATGTGATTAATATAATTGATATAGTGAAGCAGAATGATTATATTAAATAGGAACTAAAGTGATGATTACTGGTAATGCTCATTTGATAACGTCAAGTGCAATGTTACTAATTCTCATATGCTTGAATGATTCTATCCAATCATTGTTTCGATCATCATTTCGCTTCGATGAACTTTTTTTTGGAAAAAAAAACCAAAGAAAGAAATATTACTATCATTGTTATAGAAAAATGAACATAATAATAAAATTCAATGATAATTTCTTTTTTGTCTTCTATTAAGAATTTTATATATATAAGATATATATGTTTAATTATGATTAATCCTATCATTAATAACTTTGTTGAACTAATAACTATTAATTATTTTTGATTAAAAAAGACGCAAGATGTCGGTCAAATCAGGAAAAAAAAAGTCCTCTTGATGAAGTTCAAATGTCTCTTTTTTCTTTCTTGAAAATTTTCTCAAGTGTTAAAATCCATTTTAATTTTTGTTAACTTTATAAAGTAATCACAAAATTTGACCTGTCTATATAATTCTGACTTTCATCTAAATATAAGCCTTGTCTAAATGCATTAACATCAAAAAGTTGTTCACTTTAATTTCCTCATTTCCTTGTCGGATGTTGATATGTCTCATCAGATTAACAACAACAAGAAAAAAAAAAAAACTAACGATTCATTCCACATATTACTTAGCATATCAATTATCACCTAGATTTCCAAGGATAAAATAAGATATTAGAAAACTAGAATGAATACTTTCGTAGTAAAAAGAAAAAAACAATTAATATATGTCATTTTATATTATTCGAAAAAATAAACCCATTGGTAGAATAAAAATTGTAGTACTATCATAGTACAATCGTTATTATATACTCTTATAAATAATATTTTGATTGACAGCAGTTAGATAAAGATATAAGTATATCAAAAACTGCAAATCTTTTTTCTTCATACATAACTACAAAACACATTAAGTATATATTAGCCTTGTTTGGGTGCTTTTTATTAAACTGTAAAATGTATAACAACAAACTATTTATAGTTGTTGTATTAATTTTAACTTATAAAATTTCTGGTGAAAACCATGAATTAATATATAATTATGATATAGTCTATTATGATGAATGTCGTCTATCAGTTTCACCACGTAATTATCTTCAACCGGTAACTGCTTATGCTCAAATACAAAAACCATGTAATGGTACATTACTTTGGATATATCCAAATTTACAATTAACATTAACATTAGTTAATCTTGAAAATGAAACATTTACATTATGTTTTGATAAAAAACCTATTCAAGATAAATTTATTCGTTCAATAAAAAATATTAATTTAAATACAAATCAAACAAATAATATGCGTGAAATAGATACAAGTTCAGGTTTACTTTTATGTGCAACAAGTGAAGGTAATCGTATATCAATAATTATTGAAGCAGAACCATTATATGCTGGAGTTTATATACGTTATGCCATGTATAATGAACGTCATCCATGGACAACAGGTCCATATCCTGGTTGGGAAAGATCTGAAAAATATTTATATGGACCAGTTGAATATATACCACGTAATCAAAAAAAGATACGACGTCGTCGAAAGAAAATTCATTGAATAGAAAATAAAAAATAATGAAAAAACTTAAAAATTATTTTTTCTGCTTGAAATTTTTTATCCTTGCATTGCCCTTGGTTTGTTTTTATCGTTGTAGTTTTGAGTTATATAACACAAATAAATTATGAAATTTTTATTTCTATTAGCATAAATCGAATATCTTTCGATATACAAAACTGTGTGTTCTTTAGAATATTGTTCTCTGTTAACATACACATTGTATTTCATATGTTTCTTTAATTTGATAATTATCTACAAGTAAAGAAATTTATATTCAATATCTTCTGACTATTTAACAGAAATATTCATTAGTACAACTCCCTACTTATTTCTGTATCCGACTATAATCGAAGGTCATCAGCAATTTTTTCAACATCATCTCTGCATACTACCGCCATCATATGTTAGAATCTTTATTTGTCAAAATATTATCATATGACAAGTGTTTCTTTTTTCTGAACGATATATCGTAATATATGACCTATATTTAATTAAAGTACAAAATTAAATAAAATTTTTAGTGATATATGTCTCATTATGAATATAGATCATTTAATGAGTTTATATTTAAATCACTGAGAAAAAAATGTTACTCCATCAAATAGAAATTTTTCTTGAAATAAAAAGTCAAATTCATGTCTCTATATATATATATATATATATATGATAAGATGCAGTGGATGCTTGCATGTACTATGTTGTCATAATTGCAGATTTAAAGTGACCGAGACGATACGAATAAATATTCTGATAATCGAAAATTTTTCCGTTTTATCAACATAATAAATATAAACAATGTAATAAAACTTATACTCTATCGATTTGTAATATTCTAGACTAATTTAAAACAATTCTTCAGGAAGTTTTTTTTTTTTTTTTTTTTGGTATTATTATCGGTGTTTGTTGATAGCTTTTGGCATTTTAAATAAATAAAAGAATATGATAAAAGAAGCAACGTCATTTGTTGTTTTTCTTTTTCTCGAGTAGAATTAGATAACTCACATAACAAGAATAAAAAGATACATTTCAATTTATTCATGCCGTCGTTACGATGTATTTCGTGTATATCAATCTTAGCACTTATTCTATCATGTGTTTTCGTTATAATTGGTATCATAGGTATTGTTGCAGGACCTAATATACTTCAAAAACAAATATATAATAGTTTACCATTAAAAGTTGATTCTGATCAACTTGATTCATGGATAACACCACCTGTTCCAGTTTATTTACAATTTTGGTTATGGGAATGTGTTAATGTTATTGATTTTATTCAAGGAGGAAAACCAATGCTTGTTGAACGTGGTCCGTTTACTTATTTAGAAAATCGTACAAAATCTGGAGTTTATTTTAATGAAAATTATACAGTTACATATCGTCAACCAATATCATATACATTTTTACGTAATATGTCAGTTGATGATGAACAAGTACAAATAACAATGATCAATACACCAATAGTTACAATCATTTCACTTGTTCGTAATCAATCAAATTTAACACAAGAAATACTTAATTTTTTTAAGAATGTTTATAATGAATCATTATTTGTTAAACATACAGTACGTGAATGGATTTGGGGTTATGAAGATCGATTACTTAAAGCAGCAAAATCAATACCTATTTTAAAAGATTTAGTACCTGATGATCATTTTGGATATTTTTATGGACAAAATGGAACTGATGATGGATTATATACAGTATTTACAGGTAAAATATAATGAGAAATCATATAGATGATTGTTGATTATGTGTTGTTTTTTTCTTATAGGTCAAAAAGATATTAATTTATTAAATACTATTAATAAATGGAACGGTAAGTTAATCATTTTGTAGATCAAATTAAAAATGAAAAGATCTTAACATATTGAACTTAAAATAGATAATGAATATGATTAATAGTGCTTATCTTAAGAGAGAAAAAGTGCGACCTCAGTACTTCGAAGTACAGGAGTCGTGCTTTTTTTTTTCTTTGACTCACTCTCATGTGGTTATGAGTATTGCCACTTTATATATCTTTTTTTGTATGTGTACTCGTACAACATCTCAGTCTTGAGTTTTTCCGTACAGATCTTATTTTTGACAATAAAAATATCGTTTTGTAACTGTTTACCTCTGTTTCAATATGATAAGAAATTATTAGTATTTAACATTATGATACCGGAATGAATTGTTCTAGCATAGGATTACTTTTATTTGATATGAAAAATATTCTTCTATATTTTCTTGTAAACTCTTCATGAATAAATATCTTTATAGGTCTTTCATATTTACCTTATTGGAAAAATTTATGGGGTAATCAAATCAATGGAACTGATGGTTCATGGTTTCATCCTTTGATAAATAAAGATCTTCCATCTGAACGTTTATATATGTATTCAACTGATATATGTCGATCAGTCTATGCTACATTTGAACATCATTCATCAGTATTAAACATTCCAACGGAAACATTTTCTATTCCATCTGAAGTATTTCTTAATGCTACACTTAATCCAGATAATATTGCTTTTGGTACATATGATTCAGGTGTACTTGATGTCAGTGCATGTCGACAAGGTGCACCAATATTTATATCATTACCACATCTTCTTTATGCAGCTGATCGATATATAAAAAGTGTTGATGGTATTGCACCAGATCCAAGTGTTCATCGAACAGTACTTGAAGTTGAACCACATACAGGTCTTGTATTAAATGCTCAAAAACGTTTACAAATAAATACATTTATTCAACCTGATCCATTAATTGATGATCTTAAAATGATATCAGAAGTTATTTTACCAACTATATGGATCAATGAATCAACAACAATTGATCAAAAGTCAGCAGATGATTTAAATAATCAAGTTTTACGTTATTTTACTATTATTCGTTGGGTATCAATTGTATTAATTCCAATTGGTGTAGTTATATTTGTTATAACAATTGCTTGTTTTGCAAGACGACGTTCTCAAAAAGCTACTACATTTGTACCGATAATTAATACAGGATCAAATAATTCAATAGCATCCGAAAATGATTATTGAGGATTCACTTTTTTTAATTTTAATATTTTGCACGTTTTTGACTAAAATAAAATTGTGATACCATGTGATTTATATATTATTGAATGTTGATTTTCCAGATAGTTTCATACATAATGTGCATTCACATGTACTGTGTCGAGAAAAATACCATATTGATATTATTGTTATGTAGTGATTTATCAGTTTATCATATTATTATGGTGCGATCATTGTATAGTACGCGTTCACGAGATTTTTTTTACTTTCTCAACATATAATTCGAAGCGCTACTTTATGTCGCGATAATCTAAAGATTGAAGAATCGTATGATATGTGTTCAAGCATTGTTCCTAAATTCCATGTTTCTATATGATCAATTGTTTTTCAAAACTTCGATATGAAGTTCTGTTCGTTTTCAATTTGTTCCTCAAATATGAGATGCATACCAGAAACACCAGTTATTTTTGCGCTTTTATCCTGAGAGAAAATTTGAAAAATTATTAAATTAATATGTTAATTTCATTTTAGTTATTACACTAATTATTTTCTTTAAATAGTTATTTTTAGGAAGTGAGAAATCGTTTGGTAAAACGTGTTCGTAGTTGGGATTATGTTTAGAAAAAATTAGAAACAGATTTTTTTCTATTGAATTCAAAATTAATAAAAATAATGAAGTTTCGTAAACTACAAACAATATTTCAAATGATATTGTAGTTTCAAATTTTTCTTTTTGAGATATTTTGTGTTCACATAAAATTCAATTATAAGTTAAGAATTCAGTCCAGATTTCAGATATGAAAGCTTGTTGTTATATAGAATAACATGGCACAATACAATTGGATAAGCTAAAGATTTAGAGAACGATCCTCTATGTTCATTTCTCTTCTATTCTCTTTAGAAAATTCGGTAAAGATTCTGTCAGAAAATCTGATAACATCCTCGAGTAAAGTTAGTGGAGCTCTGCAAGATGTAAACAGATATTTCTTTTTTAATTAGGAATTATTAGAATTCTGGCAAGATCCTAATCTAAAAATCATGGAAAGCTGGTCAGGATCCTTCTGAAATCTTGTTCCTAATCTTACCAAAATCTTTGACATTTCATGATTACACGTTTCTTTCATGATTCATCATTTTCTGAACCAATTTCAGCTCTTATATCTTGTATTAAGCTGTTCAGAATCTTGAAATTCTGCGGCTACACATTTTCTTTAGGATTTGGCCGTTTCCTCAGAGACAAATAGTGCATCACTGTAGGATTCTTATTGAATCTGTCAAGGAACTAGTGCGAAAACACTAAAGATTTTCATTAGGGTTACGACAACATAACGAGAAAATGAAAGAAAACTTACAGACATCCTAAAATGGTTACTAGGACAATTCGTCGCGGATGGATGGATGTGACATTCGATGTCACTGCGGACCTTTAGTGTACCTTTGTGTACACGCTAACCCACACACCACCCTACACACCCACATCCAAAAAAAATAGGAGGGAATATATATACAAATATATTTATATGAATAATTCTAAAGACTCTCTAGCCCCATCCCAAAAAAGGGTCTATGTAGACATATATAACAATAGATAATTTTCAAGGTTTATAAGACGGTACATCATGAAAACAGAGAGATGAAGAGTTTGCATGTGGTTGAGTATTAATCATTTACTCGAAACGTCTTATAATAAATGTAATGAAGAGAAAAGAGTATTGTCTTTTGTTTTGTTTTGAAGAGATACGCGCACGTATGCACACCTACAGAGAAACTCTGTCTTGATGAGAACATAATAGAACAATGCCTACCGGTAAGGATAACCAATACGTGTCAAAATGATGAACATGTATTGTAAATAAAAGATCTTCACAGTATTGCTTGTGTTCCAATGATAAGAAGAGTTTCTATGTCGAATATAGAGCCATCCGGCAGGCTGACATAGAGCATTAATGAGAAAATTAAAATTCTTTAATTCATAGAGTGAATTATTCTTTCTAT